GTCGCTTTCATCCCCAGCCCTATCTGTGTGTCTTTCTTCCCCCTCATGTACCTCTGTGTGTCTTTATCCCCACTCAGGCCCCCTGTGTGCCACATCTCCCCTCCATGCCCCTTAGTGTTCCTCTCTCCTCCCCTCCCTGTCCCTTAATGGTCCATTCCCCTCCCCTTCCTGTCCATTAGTGGTCCACTTCCCTGTCCCTTAGTGGTCCTCTCCCCTCCATGTCCCTTAGTGTTCCTCTCCCCTCCCTTCCCTGTCCCTTAGTGTTCCTCTCCCCTCTCTCCCCTGTCCCTTACTGATCCTTTCCCCTCCCTTTCTTGTCTCTTACTCTTACTCTCCCCTCCCTCCCCTGTCCCTTAGTGTTCCTCTCCCCACTTTACCTGTCACTTAGTGACCCCCATTTTAGTGTTCTTCTCCACTCCCACTTAGTGTTCTTTTTCCCTTCCTTCTCCTGTCTCTTTGTGTTCTTCTCCCCTCCATGTTCCTTAGTGTTACTCTCCCCTCCCTCCCCTGTCCCATAGTGTTCTTCCTCCCTCTCCCCTAACTAATAGTGTTCATTCCCCCTTCCTCCCCTTTCCTGACCCATAGTGTTCTTTCCCCCATTTCCCTGATCCAAAGTGTTCTCCCCCCTCCCCTGTCCCATAGTGTTCTTTCCCCCCCATAGTGCTCCTTCCCCCCATCCCCATCCCTTAGTGCCCCTCTCTCTCCCTCTACCCCCTTGGTCCCCAGTGTGTCTCCTACCTCTCTTTGTAGTGTGGCTGGGCAGAGCAGTCCACGGTACACCAGCTTTAGTTTCCTGTACCCGGCCAGACTGACTGGAGCATTCTCTCAGTGAGCACTTCCTGTTAGTCCGATCGGGTACAGAAAACAGATCCTCCTGTACCGCGCTCTGCTTGGCCACGCTACAACTGAGTGACTGGTAGAAGTGAGCGCTGCATGCCCACTTCCTGATGGTCAATTTAATCTAGTGCCCCCTGGGCCAGTGCGCCCTAAGGAGGCCGCTTGTGCCACCTTATGGAGGCGCATCCCAAACATAACAGGGGATGGCGGAAGCTGTTCCCAAGCTGGATAATAAAGATGGCTGGGGATACAAAGGAAGTGGCTCCCTATATATATTTGGCCACCCCTCTTTGCCTATAGCTCCTACCCTCCACTACAGGACTTCCCTTCCTTGAATTTTACTACACTCCCCCCACTTACACATGTACCTATTCCCGGCTAGCCCTTTGGTATGCCTCCTATGGGTCTTACATGTGCCTCCAATCAGGTGCAGAACTACTGCAGCTGCAGGAGGTGCAAAGGCATTGGAGCCGATCAGAGTTTAGGGGCCCACTCTTGGCCACTACTCTTAAGTGGGAGAGCAGTGAGGCACCCAGCAAAGGTGAACTGAAATGAAAGAACACACATGCTTATTTATTACCATCCGGCAAGTTCCCATAAATGGCAGGAAGTAATAGATTCTGAGTCAGCTGCTGCCTCCATCTAGCCCCACCCTTCTCAATCCAGAATGCAGCCTGCCTTCCTCGTAGGATGATGGAGATAGCAACTGCTGTAGCCTGATCTGGGTGTAACTTTGGATCTGCAGAATGGGAAGTAGCCCTCCTCTGTGGTGGCTGAGTGACCTAGCCTATATGTCAGAAAAAGGGGAAGAGCATTGATGTCTGTCTGGGAATGTTGGTAACTGCTGTTTGCTACCTTGGTACTTTAACTTATCAAATTAATGTAATTTGTCTGAAAAATTGAAAATATATTGTATACTGTTGGAGGTATCTGTGAAATGGAAAGTGTGTGTCTGTAAACATCATGGAGGGTGTCTGTGTACTGCATGGTGTGTGTCTGTGAACTGAATTGAAGTTGACTGTATAGTGTGTACTGCATGGAGTGTTTATGAATTGTATAAAGTAGACTGTGTCTGAATTCAATGGCAGGTGCCTGAGCACTGTATAAATGGTGTCAGTAAACTGCATAGTATGTCTCTGTGTACTAAATAAAAGGAGCTTGGGCAGAATTTAAATAAACACAAAAATACAAGATGGGTAGGCTAATCAATTATGTACCTAGGGTCCTTCAAAAAGGACATAAAATTAAACAAAATAGTGGTGACTCCTTACTCCTCCCTATACATAGGGCAGTACAGGGAGCTAAAAGCAGCGCTTGAAAAAAATTCTATAAAAAATTCTATACAAGCCCAATAATGTGAAAAAGATAACTTAAAATTGAAAACCATTATTCCAATGTGAAAGAAAGTACTGATAGGGCTTCAAAAGAAACAATGTTCGGGGCACCATTTTCAGTGTTCTGTCTGCGCTACTGTGCATTTGCGGAACAAACAGTTCGCAACGCATGTTCGAACATTCTGGGATGCACATGATCCATATTACGGTGACATCATTATGACGACTTTTTAAAGCACTAAAATCTATTTCTGAAGCCTGGAACTTGTATTTAGCATTCCTTGCATTACCTACAAGCAAAGAAAATTCAGTTTTGCTTCCTCTTTGGTATCCTCATTATAGTAAGCATTTAACGCTACAGTATTTAAAGGGATAGTAATTTTTATTATCCCTATATTCTTTTTCTTTATGGAATATTAATTTTACCTTCAGGACTCGAATATGGATACGGATGAATCCATTTATGAAAAATAGTCATAGTCACAGAGTCATAAGTAAGCCATTTAGTAGCTTTTTTCTATCAAATATGTTTACCATAAACAAAAGAGAGTAGTTCATTTATATTCCTTTTCATTACAGTTTAATGGGGAGGAAATCAAGAGCTTCAAAAGGGAAGTTTTCCAAGAGGCATTTATGTGATGCATGCGATTCCAAAGTCATAGAAGGGAAATGTCTTTGCGCAGTCTGCTTGAAGGCAGCAGCACCTTTTAATTCATCTGACATAATAGATTTTGTCAAGCAAGTGGTGCCCCAGGGTGTTAAAGATGTCAGTCAGTCTTGCAAAAGGCCTAGCTACAACGAACCAGCTTGCTCTAAAGAGAATTCTTCTGAGTCTGAGATTGATATAGAATACCTGCATGAGGACTTCTCTTCAGAGGAGGAAGTTCAAAATATCCTGGCATATTTGACCCAGCTGTCATGGATAACCTTATCTATGGTGTCAGAAGATGGTTAAATCTATAAGAACCAGAGAGGAATCTTTATCTAGTAAATTTTTCTCAGATCTATGAAGGAAAAATTTGACTATTTAGGCTCTAATTTGCATGAAAGGACAAAGACAGATAAGAAGCTGTCCCCTCAAGGCACTTATACCCTTTTTAAGCCTCAGATGCTGCTTCACGGATCACTGCTCCTAAAGTAGATGCTGCTATGGTCAGACTGCCTAAGCGTACTATGCCGGTGGATAGTTTAAGTTCCTTAAGAGATACTATGGATTGTAGAATGGACTTGAATCTGGCCAAATCCCATATTGCAGCTGGTACCGGCCTTCATCCTGTCATAGCCCTTTTCTCTTTATCTCGGGCCCTAAAAAGATGGATCTACAATATAAAGGAAGATCTGAAAGATGTTAGAAACAAAGCATCCATTATTCATAGTTTACGTGACATTAAACTAGCTACAGAGTTCACCTCTGAAGCACTATCTAGAAATATTGCCCTCTCAGTCTCCGCAAGACAAGCCCTTTGGCTCAGAAATTGGACAGCTGACTGTTCATCTAAAAACAGCCCCTGCTCACTTCCTTTCCATGGAGACTGCAGCATTTTTACCTCAGGATCGCAGACCCAAAAAAAGCATCAGAGACAGAAGATATACAGAGGGACCTTCTTTCAAGACTCAGTCTAATTTGAACCCTAAAATTAACCCTAAATGTCCCATGTCCTAAGCTTAGTGAATGCACTAACTATAATGAAAGTGTAAAACTAGTTTTACTTCCCTTCCAGGACCTTGCTGTGGAGGAGTAGCAGGAGTGCTAGTACGCATGTGAAGCACAGGATCCAACTGATTCCCCTCACCGGAAGTGACAAGGGTAGGGGATCTTCACGGGTAGGGAAATTTGATAGAACACCGGCAGTTTGGATATGACATCATCCCAGCATTGGCACAGTACAGTGTGCAAGGGACCTGTGCAGGAAGAGCACAGAGATCCCAGCAGCAACAATTGACCACCAGCCCTCCACTCCAGCCCTCCCAGAGCAAGGTATGAAGGTTGGGTGGAACTCTTATTAAATGTGTGTATGTATGTGATTATTGTTGTGATTGTGTGTGCATCTCTGTGGTTAAGTGTTTGTGTTGTTATTATGTGTGTTTATGTATGTGCCCAGCCACAATGTTATATAAAAAGTAGAAAAATGCCGACACTCCTGGATTTGAACAGCACAATGATTTATTGTCACAAGTCAGTCAAGGTTTCAGTTCCTAGCTTGGAACTTTCATGAGGACATATAAAAGTAGAAAAAAAAAAGCAGGCTTTTATACAGAGTTGATAAAAATAATTAATAACTCCCCACCCTCAGCTGCTCATTAAGTTGGTCAGCTCTACCGGAGCTCGGGTGCATATACGGTCCACCCCTTCATGACGTGTTTCCAGCATCAATGCGTTGCCACGGCAGCCGCCAATATCATTCGGCTATTTACTGTACGAGGGGCCGTTGACGTCAGATAAAAACATTCCGTGGGTCCCGCAAATGCACATCGTGTAGCAGGATGCGTTACCAAGGCAACCAAATTTCGCTGATCTCTTAGTATCTCTTCTTCTAGATCTTCAGACAGTGGGTGAATTTGATGGAGTGCTGATTACCATGGACGGAAATACATCATTATACCCCATGATGAGGGGGTGGAGGCAATGAGGAATCTCCTAATCAACTCTCCAGTATACCAGGGACCTACAATTGTGTTCATCTTGGAACTCTTACAGTTGGCTCTACAGTGTAATTATTTCCATTTTCAGATCAACTAGTACTTACAGATTTCCGGCATCTTGATGGGGGCAGCCATGACACCGATGTACGCCAACACATTCATGTACGCTTTTGAGGAGAAGTACATCATACAACAATTTAAACACCAGATTGTAAAATATTATCATTTTATAGATTATATTTTAGTCCTATGGAACGGTACAGAAACTGAGGCTCAGAAATTTGTGGAATATATCAATAATTTACCAACATCTGTCAGAGTTACTTCAAAGATTGACTCTAAGACAGTGCAATTTCTTGATATCGAATTGTCAGTGAATGAAAAGCAACTAGAATACAAACTATATACTAAACCGACTGATAGAAACACTAACTTGCACTATGAGAGTGCCCGCCCTAAACATCTTAAAGATTAATTGCCATTGTCTCAGTTTCTCCGAGTCCTTAGAAACAACTTTGTTGCTTCTCAATGTACTGAGCAACTGCGGGTGATGTTTAACAGATTTGTTGAACGAGGATACAAAAGAAATATACTTAACCGGGCCCTGGATGAGGCCAAGAAGAAATACCAAGAATCCGGGGAGGAGACTGAAAAGCTCTTTTCAGAACGATTAACCCCTGTCCTGCCAGTGATCACTATACAGATCACAGGCACTTGCACAGCAGCACTTATTTTGCTGTCTGTTCATTTTTTTAGGGGTTAATTTTTTTGTCTTTTTTTTTTGTGACAGGTCACTAAGTAAAGTGATTGTGATCATGTCACATGGGTCACGGAAGTCAACCAGCACTGAGCAGTCATATGCCACCCTTGCACTAGAGTCTGACGCGTCTATGTCAGACTCTGACCCTGATTTTGACCCTGCCAGGTGCTCAGATACATCATCACTAGATACAGTGTCTGCTGCTAGTGATGTATCTAGTAATGTTGTATCTGTGCCTGCTAGTCCCCCTGCCAGAAGGAGACGTGCTGCTCTAGCTGGCAGAACTGCTGAGGAGTGGGTAGTGCCTCATCGCCAGAGGCCAGACATCTCATCCTTTACTGCAATCCTGGCATTAATTTGGATGTCACAGGATTTAGCCCTCAGCAGTTTATGGAGGTGTTTCTGGGCGATGATGTATTGGGGGACATTGTCGCCCAAACTAATTTATATGCCCATCAATGCCGAGCTACAAATTCTGACTCTTTTTTGGCAAAGCAGCAATGGGCCCCCATCGATGTGCCAGAATTTAAAAGGCCTCCATCCGCTCCTACTGGAGCAGTAGCCCCATCTGATCTACCCTCATTTACTCCCAATGTATGTCGAGGAAGAGGTATGAAATGATTCTGCATTTCATGCACTTCAGCGACAACAGCCTGTGTCCCACTAGGGAGCATCCCCAGTTTGACAGGCTATATAAAATCCGCCCCCTGATTACCCACTTCGCTGCCAGGTTTGCAGAGGCTTATACACCTGGAAGGAATATATGCGTGGATGAATCCCTGATGAAGTATAAGGGAAGGCTGGGATTCAAGCAGTATGTTCCTTCCAAGCGCTCTAGGTATGGTGTAAAGATGTATAAGCTCTGTGATAGCGAGACTGGGTATACTCAGGCCTTCCGGGTGTATGAGGGAAAGGATAGCCACATTGACCCTTCAGGTTGCCCAGAACATATGGGAACCAGTGGCAAGATTGTCTGGGACCTGATATTCCCCCTGATGAACAAAGGGTACCACTTGTATACTGACAATTTTTATACAAGTGTCCCTTTGTTCAAGCTACTGTACTGTTTTGATACAGTAGCTTGCGGCACAATCAAAAAGAACAGTACAGGTTTCCAAGGACAACTTGCACGCACCCGGCTACGAAGGGGGGAGACCTCAGCTCTGCGCCAAGAGGAGCTGTTGGCAGTTAAGTACAGAGACAAGAAGGATGTGTAACTTCTTACCACCATCCACACTGAGGGGACTGTGGAGGTCCCTGTACGTGGCAGAGCTGAGAGAACAAGGAAGCCAGTGTGCATCAAGGCACTTAACCGGCATATGGGTGGGGTTGATCTGGCAGCTGACAACTATTACAGAATTAAAGAGACACACATTGTTTCCATATTTTTGGATTGCCACCCTCCCCTCAAAAAAAAAAAAAGAATCTTAGTGTTTCTAAATTACTGCAAATATTTTTTTCCCCACATAAAAACTAGTGGGGAACTTCCCCATGTTCCACTATTGAAGAGTTTCCACTGATACCAAATATATAATGAATTCAACATCCTCACACACAAATGAGAAATCTATTTTAGGAAATGATTTTCAAATGTAGGCATAAAAAACATTTAGATTCACCATAATAAATGCATTTAATGTAACTTCATGAGAATGTGAAGATATATATATATATATATATATATATATATATATATATATATATATAATACAAAATTTATAAACATTATACTGCACAGCCAAAATGAAACCATGAAGGCATACTCATTTGATTTATTTAGCTAAGCTCATCGTGAAATAACATACAATAAAACTTGCCCAGAAACACAAGAGTAAAAACTTCAAGTTGAGAGGAAGAGCTTGCACTTTCAATTGTTCCTTTGTAATATCAGAAACTGAAAATTATTTTCATTTTTAGTAAATGAGGTTTTTGTTCCATGTCGTTTGCCGCAATAGTCTTACTGAGAATTTATCAGCAAGCTACATGGTTATTTGCAATCATAAAGAAATCTCTTATCTGCAACTCTCAATGGCAACTACATGAACAGTATAAATGTTTTGTATTTGCCTTTTGCAGAAAACTCACAGTTCATTTAGTAACAATGATAAAATGATAAGCAGAGCAGGCCGATCAAAGTGCGAAGTGGAAAATATGGAAAATGCTGGAGTACAGCATGCATACTAATCAGCTATAAGTTGAATATTTTGTAGAGTTATTACTTGCAAAATGTTTTCACAACTTTTCATGGGCCTGTGTCATATTCTTTATCATTCAATCTTTTATTGATAGACTTGGCACAGGGCTTGGAGGGCAACTTTATAGTATACACTGTGGATATGTCGTATACATTAGAGATATTAGCAGTATAGGTTGCAATTGGCAGAAGTAAAAGCAGATTAATAAATGGTATGTTACCCGATAAGGACGAAGGTGTTATTGAGATGTGACATGCTTGTGACAAGGCCTTTTTGGCACTTTTGCCATGCGATAATTCTGTCACACTTTTCCCCTATCTTTTTAAGTGCACTCACACATATCATGGACCATTTTAAAGGCAGAATAGAGCTTTCTTTTGATACCATATATGTATACTACAATATTAAATAGGAATAAAATATTAAAAGACGGAAAATATAATTATTATTTTTTTTTTCGGTTTTAGTTTAAATAATTTTTACACAACAAACAAAACTAAAGAAAACAACCTCAAAATTGACTCACTAACCAATAACACTTGCCCTCAACTTCAATCACTGCCCACATATGAAAATCTACATCCACAATGTCAGAGGGTTGAACACACCCCACAAAAAATACAACCTCTTTAAGGAGCTACAAAGCTCCCAAGCTGATGTTACTTGCCTACAGGAGACCCATTTCAAGCACAACTCCAAGCCAATACTGGGCCTCAAAAGTTTCCCTCACCAATACCACGCTACATCCCCGACCAAAATCAGGGGGGTTTCAATCCTGCTGAGCCATAAGCAGACATTCGACCAAATAGCAGTCCACCTAGACCCACTGGGTAGATTCATTATCCTGACATGTACATTGAACAACACCACTTATACGATAGACAGATTCCTAATGCACAGCACACACATACACCAAGTCAGAACCTGCGAAATTGGCACATCTGCAGAATCAGATCACAACCCAGTGTTGCTCACTCTCGCAGATCAATATCACTCCAGAAACCGGAGTCCCTGAAGGATGAACGAACAGCTGCTCAATGACCCCGCTTTAGCGGATACGATTCGCCGGGAACTGAACCAGTACTTCACAACGATGATTCAGGAGACATAAACCCTGCCACACTATGGTGAGTTCACAAGCCAGTTATCCGATGAATCCTGATAAGCAGGATGGCATATCTTAAAAAGATCATCCACACCTCTTTGATCACCCAACTCAAACAAGCCCAGGACCTCCACAGACTAAACCAAGCGAACCCTCACAGTCTCTCCAACACCAGATACAATCAGTACAGGGAGAAATAGACTAAATCTACCTACACAGGGCCAGAGTTGCGCTAAAGAGATTCAAAGCAACCTCCTATACTATGAGGAACAAAGCCACGAAGGTGATGGAACAGAGACTGCGAGACAAACATGCACAGACGATAATCCCATTCCTACACACACAGTCTGGACAAAAAGTAATACAACCCACACAGATATCCAATGAATTTGCACGTTACTATGACACCCTATATAACCTGAAGTGTAACCGTGGCTGGCTCCCTTATTTACCACTATAATGTCTTAAAGCATAGAACTTAGTAGGGCTAACCATACAGATATCTTAGCCATAATTGTATATAGTGTAAGAGATCCTCTATTTGACATATATAAATAATTGAGAATACAATATAAAATAAGGATTGTCTTGGAAGCAATAGTTTTGTCTTTTTGGATATTTATTATATAAAAATATAAATATAAAATCCATTATAGCAGAGTTTATAAGATTAAACTAAATGCTTGCAAATATCATTAATAGGTTAACATACCCTTCTGAACATGTCATCATGTCAGCCTCTCTGTCATTTTAAGATGGAGCAGCATCTGTCTCCAAGTCTCTCCTCTGTATCTTAACATTTAAAAGTACACCTATTTATACCTTAGGTGTCTCCATTTTAGGGTTACCATAGTTCATTTACTTTATTTATTTTAGGACCTCCCTTCATTTGGCAAACATACAAGGCCATAACTAAAGGATGCAAACGTCATGGAAATTTTCCTGACTTAGTTCAAGATGGCATCTTAAAGTCTGAATAGGTTATCTGTTGTTTATACTAAGTCGTAAGTGTACAGTCGTGGGAGATTCCCAGGTTTGGGGAAGTTCCATTAACTTGGGGTTACCACAGTATATTGTGTACTGAAAGAGTCGTAGTATAGCCTTGAAGCTTGTTTATGCATTAATGTTATTGTAATTCGTCTGGGACAAAATGGCGCAAACATATTAGGCACTGAGGTTATTGCTTAAAGAAACAGTTATGAAAAACAATATGTTCCATTTCTAACACCGTGTCAGTTTGCAATATCTCTTAAAGACAAAGTACACAGTTTAAGAAATACAATATTTCATTCTAAAACTTGTAATATTTGCATTTGCCCATAACAGAAGGAACACCACAACACACC